CTGGGTGTGGCCTAGAACTTTTTGAACGAAAAGTTTATGACTCTTCTTTTTGGGTTTGGCCTAGATGTTTTTGAACGACCGGCGTATGACACTTCTTTCTTTGTTTGGCCTAGAACCTTTTCAACGACTCGCCTCTAACTCTTCTTTCTGGGTTTGTTCTAGAAGTTTTTCAACGACCCGTGTATGACTCTCTGGGTTTGGCCTAGAACTTTTTCAAAGACCCACGTATACCTGTTCTTTCTCGGTTTGGCCTAGAACTTTTTGAATGACCTGCGTATGACTCTTCTTTCTGGGTTTGTCCTTGAACTTTTCAAACGACCTGCGTATGACTATTCTTTCTGGGTTTGAGTATGAACTCTCTGCATGACCCGCGTATGACTTTTCTTTGGTCTAGACCTTTTTCAACGAACTGCGTATGACTCTTCTTTCTTGGTTTGGCCTAGAAGTTTTTGGACGACTCTCGTTTGAATCTTCTTTCCGGGTTTAGTCTAGATGTTTTTTGAACCACCCACGTATGTCTTTTCTTTCTCGGTTTGGCCTAGAACTTTTTGAATGACCTGCGTATGACTCTTCTTTCTGGGTTTGTCCGAGAACTTTTCAAACGACAAGCGTATGACTCTTCTTTCTGGGTTTGGCCTAGAAATTTTCAAACGACCCGGGTATGACTGTTCTTACTGGGTTTGGCCCAGAAGTTTCTGCCCGACCCTCGTATGACTGTGTGAGGTTTATAACCTTTTGAACAAACCATGGTTTTTCTTTCTGGTTGAGGCCTACAAATGTTGAACGGCACTCGTATGGCTCTTCTTTTTCAGTGAAGCTTAGAAATTTTGAACGGTCCCTGTATGACTTTTCTTTCTGGGTGAGTCTTAGAAGTTTTGAGACAACGCTAGTATTGCTCTTTTGGTTGAGGCATAGAAAGTTTTGCAAAAAAAAACATCGTGTGGCTATTCCTTCCGAGTGAGGCTTAGAACTTTTTGAACAAATCTAGTATGGCTCATATTCCTGAGTGAGGCTTAGAACATTTTAAACAACGCCCGTATGGCTATTCTTTCTGGGAGAGGCGTAGAACTTGTTGAACAAATCTGTGTCGCTTTTCTTTCTGAGTTAAGCTTAGAACGTTTTTAACAACACTCGTATGGCTGTTCTTTTTGAGTGAGTCTTAGATGGTTTTGAAGGCCCGAGTATAGCACTTCTTTTCTTGGTAAGACATAGAACATTTTGAACAAACCTAGTAAGGCTCTTCTTTCTGTGTTGAGGCCTAGAACTTTTTGAACGACTCGCGCATGGCTTATCTTTCTGTGTGAGGCTTAGAAATGTTTGATAAAACCTCGTATGGCTCTTCTTTCTGGGTGAGGACTACAAAATTTTCAACTTTTTGAACGATCGGCGTATAGCTCTTCTTTTTGAACTGAATCCCTGCATGAATCTTCTTTCTGCGCGAGGCCTACCAATTTTCTGGTCGAAGCTTAGAAATTTTTAACAAATCTCTTATAACTATTCTTTCTGACTGAGGCCAAGAAATTTTTGCACGACCCGCGCATGGCTTTTCTTTCTAACAACATCAATTACTGATGATATATGTGGTTTATAAGCATTTATTGACATGAATTATTTGTATATTAATAATAAACTCATTAGACCATAATTCTTAGATAAATGGATATACTTTAACCAAGTGTTCCTTAGACGAATATTCGTTAGACAAGTATATTTTGACTAATATTCCTTAGACCAATATTCTTAGACCAATATTACTTAGACCAGTATTCTTAGACCAATATTCCTTAGACCAATATACCTTAGACGAGTATTCTTGGGCCAATATTCCTTAGACCAATATACCTTAGACCAGTATACTTAGACCAATATTCTTTAGGCCAATATTCCTTAGACCAGTATTCTTAGACCAATATTCGTTAGACCAATATTCTTTAGACAAGTATTCTTAGACCAATATTCCTTAGACCAATATACCTTAGACCAGTATTCTTGGGCCAATATTCCTTAGACCAATATACCTTAGACCAATATTTTTAGGCCAATATTCCTTAGACCAGTATTCTTAGACCAATATTCCTTAGACCCGTATTCTTAGACCAATATTCCTTAGACCAGTATTCTTAGACCAGTATTCTTAGACCAATATTCGTTAGACCAATATTCCTCTCATGACTATTCTTTCTGAGTGAGGCCAAGAAATTTTTGCACGACCTGCGCATGGCTTTTCTTTCTGACAGATACTTAGAACTGAACGACCCTCGTATATTTCTTCTTTATGGGTGATGTACAGAAATTTTGAACGGCCCTCGTATCGCTCTTCTTCCTGGGAGAGGCCTAGAAATTCTTGAATGGCCCGCGTATGGCTCTTTTTTCTGGGAGAGGCCTAGATGTTTTTGAACAACCCTCAAATGGCTCTTCTTTCTGGTTGAGACCTAGAACTTTTTGAACAAACCTCATATGTCTCTTTTTGGGTGAGGTCTAGAACGTCTTGAACGACCCGCGTGTGGCTCTACTTTCTGGGTTTGACGACCATCGTGACAAGTGTTGAGTTGCCATTAAATGTTAACCATCTCTTCTCACACCAGTAATCTATTAAATTACCGTGGCTTTGTGTTAGAATAAATTGTATTACAATACCCTCATTATTGAATTGATCAGATTTAAAGTGTCGATTTATCAGGAGAAAACATCTTGGAATCTAAAAACAGCTGAGTAAAAGGCCATAGACATAAATATACGTTGCCAAATCTTATACGCTTGATCAAATATGGCAAGCAGGATGTATAGAAAAGCTAGAATATATTGGAGTCTCTAAACTTGAATCGCAAACATTTTAGAAGAAGGACGAGATGTTAAGATTGTAGTGGTCGGGAAAGAATCATCCTTGGATTCTATTCCACAAAGCAGCAGTTCTTCTACTAAATGAACACATAGGGAATGAAGTTAGTCTGGGTCTTAGATGGGAAGGTTATAGTTGGGGTTTTGACCTGATCTGCAATGGTGTACGCAACATGGCTCTTATATTCTACGGTCAAGAAAAAGCGGGCATTAGTAAGTTAAAAGTCTGATGAATATGACTATCGTGGTAGGACTTCACTATCTAACTTCATCAATTTTTCTCATTGTTTTTTCAAGCAGAAAGTCGTTCCTTACGTTTCAGCCGAAACAAGATAATAAAGCCACTAAGACACAAGCAGCTACTAAGTGTGAGAGAATATGAGAAAAGGCAACCATTATTAAGAATTTTTTATGTTATATGTCTTTCGTTATTTTTTTAATAATTTCACCATAAGTAAAGCAATAAAGCCACTAAGATTCAAGGGATTACGGAGTGTCAGAGAAAATGAGAAAAATAAAACAGCATTATGGAGAGTGAAAAAAAATAATAAAAGAACAGGAAGATAGCGATTGATATTGCATTTAAAGTTTTCTTTTAAGGTCTGAGGGAGCAAGAAGACAGAAGAGAAATATATAAGCGAGAAGCACCGGGGGGGGACTATACGCTCACATCTAGCCATTTCAACTCTAAAATAATGCGAGCTAGCCGACAGTTTCGTACTGTCTTTTCCATAAACGCACGGTGACTCAAAGTTTGCAAATATTGAAAAAAAAAAAGCTGTGGAGAGCCATTAATGACCATAACTTGACACTAAATGAGTGAAATTTTGCTGATGTATTGTCTTTCCTTGTTATCACGTTTCCGGCTGGTCTACCGAATTTTCATTGTTCAAAATTAAATTGTAACCAATGAACTAATGTTGGTATATTATGGAATTTAAAGGTGTGTATTTGTGTGTATTTTAGGTGCGTGCTTGTTCATATATGATAAACAAAGAAAAGTTTCTGCTATGAACCGTCTATTCTTTTTTCTCGTGACTGTATTGAAACAAAGTTCTTCACGCTTCTTGACTATGTCCGCTATCCTTTTGTTTCAAGAGTTAAGGTAAGTATAAGCCTTGTATTAATTGTCGAGCTCAAGTCAACCTTGCGCAGAGTTGGGACAACCAAAGGAAAGTTTGCACTTACTTTATCGTTGGAAGGTATAAACATGGTTATTGGATTTTCGTTTTCTTTTTCTTGGTGCAGAAGTTAGGGTAAGTATGTATAAGCATCGTTACAATGGTTGCACTAAAGTCAGCCTTGCACTGTGTTTTGACCAACCAAAGACAAAATTTGACTTACTTCACGGGTTAAGGTTTTTGGAAGTCACGGGCAAGCGCCATGCGTTGAAAAGTGAAAAGAGAGTTCAATGGTCAGTGGACCGAGGAAACAAACATTACCCATTGGGAACTTAATTACTACGTGCTTCTAAATCTTGGAACAAAATGGGATAAAGATGGTGAAGCAAGAAAATGTTTGTCTTTTTATAGATAAAACAGCGCCGCCTAGCATCGTCTGACGACACCAAGTTTCAGTTCCTTTACTCTTAGGATCATGGGAAAATGTATTTCTTTTTTATTATTCATTATTATTATTTTATTTATCATTTCTATTTCATTTTCCCACAATATAGGACGTTTTTATTTGCATGTAATATTACCATAGTACGGAGTTCGGCTTGGTACTCAGAGCAATAAGCCACTGCACAAGGGTCAATATTAGCCTATTACATGCTTCGATTTTGCATTTAATATCCGTGTTAAGAGAATCTATTCTTCATAAATTAAACTTCTAGTTCTGGGTCATTTGAAGTAGGCAGATAACCTTACCAGTGGAGGTCTTACATCCGGGTATTCGTATTCGTTGATTGGCGCCAAAATTAAGCTAGGCCCCTAGTCAATCTGCTTCAGTGGTTTCCTTTTACTACCCTTCGCTGACCTGACAAGTAAACTATACCAAAAAAAAAACAAAAAAAAAAAAAAACTAGCAACTCCCGACTGAAGTTATTTTGAAGTCTTTCTAACTTATTGCCGGTAAACATTCGTCTTTTTTTGCCTTAGCCACTGACCAAAATCACTAAAATTATAAAACCTTTTTAGTTTACTATAAAACTTAGTTAGTTTTCTTCTTGTTCAATTTGCTTTTCTTTACCCAATATTAGACCAATATTCCTCAGACCAATATTCCTTAGACCAGTATTCTTGGGCCAATATTCCTTAGACCAATATTCCTTAGACCAATATTCCTTAGACCAGTATTCTTCGACCAATATTTGTTTGGCCAATATTCGTTAGACCAGCTTTCATAGACCAATATACCGTAGACCAGTATATTTTGACCAATATTCCTTAGACCATTATTCCTTAGACCAGTATTCTTAGACCCATATTCGTTAGACCTATATTTCCTAGACCAGTATTTTTAGACAAATGTTCCTTAAACCAATATTCCTTAGACCAGTATTCTTAGACCAATATTGCTTAACCCAGTATTCTTAGACCAATATTCGTTAGAACTATATTTCTTAGACCTATATTTTTAGAGCAATATTCATTAGACCCATATTCTTTAGACCAGTATTCTTGGCCCAATATTCGTTAGACCGATATTCATTAGACCAGTATTATTCCTAAGATCCATATTTCTTAGACCTGTATTTTTTGCCCAATGTTCCTTCAACCAATATTTGTTGGACCAGCATTCTTAGACCAATATTCCTTAGACCAGTATTTTTAGACCAATATTCCTTACACCCATATTCCTTAGACCAGTATTCTTGGCCCAATATTCGTTAGACCAATATTCATTAGACCAATATTCCTTAGACCAGTATTTTTCGACCAATATTCCTTAGACCAATATTCTTAGACCAATATTAATTAGACCTATATTTCTTAGACCTATATTTTTAGACCAATATTCCTTACACCCATATTCCTTAGACCAGTATTCTTGGCCCAATATTCGTTAGACCAATATTCATTAGACCAATATTCATTAGACCAGTATTTTAAACGAATATCCCTTAGACCAATATTCCTTATACCGGTGTTTTTAGACCAATATTCGTTAGACCAATATTCCTTACACCAGTATTCTTAGACCATTATTCATTAGACTAATATTCTTTAGACCAGTATACATAGACCATTAATCCTCAGATCAATATTCCTTAGACCAGTATTCTTGTGCCAATATTCCTTAGACCAATATTCTCTAGACCAGTATTTTTAGACCAATGTTCCTTAAATCAATATTCCTTAGACCAGTATTCTTAGACCGATACTTGTTAGACCAATATACCTTACACCAGTATTCTTAGACCAATATTCGTTAGACTAATATTCGTTAGACCAGTATTTTTACACGAATATTTCTTTGACCAATATTCCTTAGACCAGTATTCTTAGACGAATAATCGTTAGATCTATATTTCTTCGACCAGTATTTTTAGACCAATTTTCCTTAAACCAATATTCCTTAGACCAGTATTTTTAGACCAATATTCCTTAGACCAGTATTCTTAGACCGATATTCTTTAGACCAGTATTTTTAGACCAATATTCGTTAGACCAATCTTCCTTCCCATTTTACACAGAAGCGATAATGATACGAGCCTTCCATGAAAATGTTTGTCTAGCATATGTCTAATAGCCCTAAAAAGGCAGATAGGAGCTGTCCATATTTGAGAATAAATCAAGTTTATGGCATTACTAGCCCAATATTATATATATATATATATATATATATATATATATATATTATATATATATATATATATATATATATATATATATGTATAAATAGACTAATGAGCATTGAAGTCAACACTCGGAGGCGATAGGCTGTTTTCATGCTAGGCGCAATCGTCAGGCCTTTTTCATCTAGCATGACTGTCACCACTAATGTTAACTTCTATGTTCACTTTATATATATATATATATATATATATATATATATATATATATATATATATATATATATATACAAAAATTCGTAGTGACCAAAAAGAAAACTCAATACTGAAAAACAAATTCCAATGTACATATTTATGGCAAATTTAAGAACATTGATCTAAAGAATATTTGTCTAAGCAATACTCGTCTAAAGACATTGTCTTTTGGAATACTGATCTAAGGACCATGGGTTTAACATAATATTTTTTTAATCAAATTAACACTTTATCCATGTACAAAATACTCAATTGTATTGATGGTCACTATAATAGAGAATAAAGTTTATGACACTTCTAGCAACATTAATTATTGATGATACATATGGTTCATAAGCATTTATTGGTATGAATTGTTTGTATATTAATAATAAATTCCTTAGACCAAATTTCTTAACCTTGTGTTTATGATTTTTAGCTTTGAAAATATCCTCTCACATTGGACTTGAGTAACTGATGGTGTGCAGATGATTTATAAAGTACTTGTTTCCTTTCATTCCGAAAACACTTGTCTGTGTTTGCTTGATAATTGCATTTATATTTGATATAGGGAGCTCACTACATCAGAAGTCCATTTGACATCGGGAAAAGTGACATCCTGGCCAGTCCGCTACTGGTTGTATTTCTGTTGTGATATATTTGTATAGTAAGCTTAGAGAATGAAGACAGCCAAGGAAGAGGCCTCCAAAGTAGAGCGTATGAGCGTATTATTAAATTATAACAAAAATATGTTATAAAATCACTACAGCAGTGACTTTATAACATATTTTTGTTATAATTTTCGAATAAATAATTATATTTGCTCTATTCTGTATTGAGCAGTTTGTTAAGAATAGTATTTGTTGGATATTAGAATTTATTCCTATACACCAATCCTATATTTAGGTATATATATATATATATATATATATATATATATATATATATATATATATATATATGTGTGTGTGTGTGTGTATATATATATATATATATATATATATATATATATATATATTTAGACACACACACACACACATAATATATATATATAAAAATGTTTTTACATTATGTATATATATATAAATATATATATATAAATATTATATGATGATGGTATATAGAATTTAAAATGGATAAATGTGGCATTCGTGTCATTGTGACCCTTGACTTCAATATTCGGCCATTGCTCTGCTGAAACTAACCTCCCCATCCATAGCGTCTGTAGGGTGGAGTCAACTCAACTTCAGAACAGACCATGCATCGTTGGTTTCAAAATCTCGTTTCCTTTTGATCTGGATTCCCAAAATGTGCCTTGTCGCGGTAGTAAATCGTCACACGACAGTGACGAAATGAGAACAGCTGTGAATGTTCATCTTAAAACAAACAGCCGGGCGTTGGCAGCAAATATTGGGGTAATCCATATAAAAGTCTAATGACATCCACTACCAGTTCGGAAAGGAAATAAAAAGCAGAAGGGAGTACCCATGATTGAACTGGTGATCAGCAGTTTAAAACTGTTTAATGTTTTCTACACTTTGTTCATTTCAATAATGACCTTTTCTTGATGGTGTGATTACTATTAATGCAAAATTATCTCTGTATGATAATTTAGCAGGTAGCGTTCTTTAGATTGACAGATTGCTCTCCACCTGATTGAAAATTCCTAAAATTTAGTCTTTACCCACAAAATATATTACTATGATGTCAAACTATTATTGTTACGATTTGGATGTATCAAAATTTTAAAACCTTTTGGTCAGTTTGATTGAAGAGATAAATACCTATCTGGCTGATATCCCACCATCGCGATCGATTCTTTGTACCTTTTCTGGAAATATTTTTATAGCAATTGCTCTGATGGCCTTTCCTCTATAGTACCTCAACTTTACGAATTTAAGCATAGTATTTGATTGGCGGTTAGAATTCATCACTTGATTTGGCTAGACCAAACTCTCTTCCAGTTCCTTTGCTTTCCAGTCAAGTTTGATCTTCAGAATTTTAAACGCAAACTCAATCATTATCTTGTCTTCTTTTATTGTTCTCTCTTTTTAATGTTTTCTTTTTTCTCATTTTCGCTGGCACTCCGTAACCCCTTGCATCTTAATGGCTTTATTGCCTTGCTTGGGGTGAAATTATTAAAAAAATAACGAAAGGCTTACTACATAGGAAACAATGAACAAAATTGATACAGTTTGGCATTGAGAACCTCTTTCGCTATTTTTTTTTTCATTAGAATTTCACCTCAAAAATTACCGCATTTTCTTGAATATACACGTCATGTTGTGTACACCCTTGCAGATCAGGTGCAAACCTTAACTCTAAACCTTTCAGCTAAGACCTGCCACGCTCGCGTAATGTATTCCTTACGTCTTCCTTTAGTAATAAGTAAGTTCCAGAACTGTTGCTTTGCGGCACAGTATCCCAGAATGATACATTCGGGACCACTACAATTTTAATCTCTTTAAGTCTGAGGTTAACCTTTCCCTTTCTCACATATCAGCCACGCAGCAACCACCTTCCGTAACCGTCAACATTAAGTGGCCTTCATCTATTCTAATGTCAATTCTGGGTTGCTTTATCGAATTTTTTTAAGCATATCACCCCAAGCAAGGTGTGAGTGCCACTAGCAAGCATGGGGTTACGGAAAGTGTGAGAAGGGGTAAAGAGGAAAGGATATAGAAAAAGACGGGGATCAGGATTAAGGCATCAGAAGATGTCGATTGACATTACATTCGAATACTTGAAGATTAGAACTATCAGAGAAGCAAGTAAGAGGAAGAGAGTTCCACTGACGGGAAGTGCGAGATAAAAAGCTGTAGGAGTAGAAGAGACGGTTATATTTAACTGTTTCAACAGTGAAAAGGTAGGACCGAGATGTCAACCTAGTAGCACGCTTAAATTCATGAAGTTTAGGAACCAGTGAACGTAGCTCTTCAGAGCAGTTGACATAAAAATACTTGTAGAAAAGACAGAGGGAAGCCACAGCAAGTCTGTGAGAGGGTGACTGTAGACGAGATGCCAGATTAGGACCTATTACATTGCATGTCCGTGTTTGGATTTTGTCGAGGACCTAGAGATAAACAACGGGGGCGCCAGACCATATATGGCGCCAGTATCAGGTGCGGATACATTCAGCATTCTTATTCTACATGCTTGCTATTTTGAATTCATGAAACTTGGTCTTGACACTTGGAAATTAATTAAACATATTTCATTTAAGTTAATTTTATATTATTCTCTATTAAATTTTTATTCATAAAAGCAAATACACCAATGATAAATCTGAATCACAAATATGAAAAGGAAGTTGAATTTTTGCCATGATTCTTATACTGAAATGGACGTTTTAATTTTACTTGATTTAAACCGTCCAGGGTAAGACGATAAACTAAGTCCGCGCCCTGGGTAAGACGATAAACTATATCCGCGCCCTGGGTAAGACGATAAACTACATCTGCGTTTAGGGTAAGATGATAAACTACATCCGCGTCCTGGGTAAGACGATAAACTACGTCCAACAGCAAGGAGGTTTTGAGAAGCATAGAACCACCTCTTAATTGCTAGCGTTCCCAGGTCTACCCTGACCCGGGTTGGTAGCTCTTGTCAGGGTCCCAGCAAATAGTTAACCCCCAAACTTGGGTCAAAATACTATGGGAGTGTAAAAATAGGTTATAATGCCAGAAATACTTTGTAAAAAATTATTACCAGCAATAAATTTTGAAGGAAAAAATGTTACCCGGAATACATTTTTGGAAAAAAAATATTACCAGCAATTCATTTTAAAAAAAAAAAAAAAAAAAAAAAAAAAAAAAAAACAGTAGCAGCAATACATTTTTGGAAAAAAAAATGTTACCAACAATAAAAATTTTTGTCGGCATTAAATAACCCATTGAGGTTGATATACCGTAAAACAAAACAAACAAACTTGATTTAA